AGATGACATTATACCACTCGTCTTCAGTTGGGGGTATCATGAGATCATTATAAATATTGGGATCAATGTCAGCCAAGAGAGAATACCACTGTGTCCAGTCAGCTGGGATGGTTTCATCATGATGGTAAGTATTAGTAATTCTTTGAAAATAATGAGTTATTTCATGCTTGACATCACTTTTGGAGGTGAGAAGACCTAAGTTTTAAGTCGAGTTGTTCAGACATCTATCTAATACAATAACGTGCCTTTCTCTATTAAGAAGCGAATCATACATTTTTGTCTGATTTTCGCGAAAGTTATTACACCATTGTTCTAAAGCATTTTTGATAGCTTGAGCTTTATGTTCTTCTTCTTTGGACTTAGCTGAAACAGTCAAGCTAGAGATAAGTATTTTAATTTGGGGAATAATAGATTGTATGGTAGATAGTGACAACGTCTGACTAGTGACTGGTGGAAGTGTGATAGCAAATTGTTGTGAGAAACCAGATGCTTTATCATACAAGGAGACCCAGGTTGGTGAAATATTTCCAGAATGTAAAGCTTTTTTTGAGAGTTTTTCAAGTTTTTGAACAGTTAATAATTGCTGGTAAACTTTTTTAAGCATTTTAGGACTCAGGTCACATGCATGTTATGAAGAGTGGTGAGTAGGGATAAACTTCTCCGCTGCTTTTATAATACAACCTTGGATTAGATCCCAGTAAAAATTTAAGGCGTGTTTGGATTTCAGTTTGGTATTATCCAAATTGGCAAGCTGACAGAAAGAGAGAAGTGCATCTGTTTTGTTAGCAAAATTTGTCCAATCATCATGAGACATCCTGTCATAGTGAAAGGATATTTTTTTAGCTGGAGCTTTATTGGACCGAGGAACTAATTCTGAAATATAAAAGGAGGTTGTTGCAATATTATGATCTGTGAAGTTTTCATCAACGTCAATTACTGTAGCTGTATGTATATCTATTGCCAATCTATCTGAACAATAAATGTGGTCAATCCTAGATGGGGTAAGGCATATTTTGTTGTTAAAAGTAGGAAATCTTGCATTAGCATCGTCAAATAAAAAGTCAAAATTGTTATATATATTATCATTATCCAATTGCTCAAAAAATTTATTTGAATTCGAAGGATTGTTAGCCTGAAAAGGAACTGCATTGAAGTCTCCTAATAGGATAACTTGCATGTTGTCTAGCTTGGCTTGGTTGAGAAGTTTGGTGATGGCAACATAGGTCTTGTTATGGATTATGGTATCTGAACTTGAAATATATGCGTTGATTATATGGAGTCTATATTTATTGCGGAATTGTAAATCTAAATAAATATATCGTCCAAGATCGCCTTAGCAATTGTACACGTGATCTGCAAATTGTTTTTTGATAATAAGTCCGACTCCAAAGCCAGATTTTTGTGCGAATTGGTTATGATTTAAAAATATTTGGTAATTTGAATTAGTAGTACGTCTTAAAGATTTAGATTGCGAATTATTGAGGTCAGTTTCTTGTATTCTAATGATATCCAAGTGGTGTAAAAAATAAATTTGCATGAACATTTGTTGTTTTATTGGATTGGTGAAAGAACGAACATTATGTGTGGCAATTTTAAAATTCGATTAATTGTATTATGATTAAAGGGGGGATTCGAGGTATTTCCATTGTTATTATTATTTGTACTAATCATGTTTAAAGAAATTTAGGTTGGGTGGGGGGATCATACTTATTATCATTGAAGTAATCTGAAGGTGCTGGCTTAATTAGTTCTGCAATGTTAATTAAACGATTTTCTGGAAGGAGCTCATGGTGGACAAGTAATCTTTGCATTTGGGCTATAGCAACAAGTGCATTGTTGAGTTTTTCATAGTTATCACTTAAGTTACTCTTAAGAATGGAATTTTTTAAGTTGTAATTCAGTAACTTGGGATTCTTGTTGTCAAACAATGGATTTGGAGATATCAATTCCTGCAGTAACAACTTCGTTATCCTCTTCCTCCATTTCATCAAGGGGATTTTTATATTTGTTATTATTGATGATGTCCACCTGTTCAGGGGAAATAGATGTAATATTGAGAACAGTTTCGATAGTATTCACTCTCGTAAGTGTAAAACAAAGTTGGTTATGAATGTCAGCAAGTTGTTGAGAAATGTTGACCAGTTGAGTGAAAATGCTGTCAAGAAGAGATGGTTGATATTTATTATCATGATGACAGGACAATTCTGCTTCAGTTTCATCGGCCTATGACTCATTGGTATGGATACTTATCATTTAGTGTGTTTCCTACAGATGGTTTATTCTTAGGAAGAGGTGGTGGGGCATTAAAGTCTATTTTAGGATCGATAATATGGGCAAATGAAAGACCATTTGGTCCGGATACATTTTGTTGACTAATGCCTTTATTATTTCTATTATTGTAATTAATTGGAGTTTTAGGAGGGGGTTTGTAGGTGTAGGTTTGACTTTTGGAGCTGAAGCCGAATAGTTTTTAAATTGGGCTGGTTGGTATCGTTGATACAAATTTTGTAGTTGACGATCTTTTGGGGTAGAACGTTTACGCTTACAATTTTGGGACAAGTGTTCTGGAGCAGAACAGATAAAACAGAGCTTCTGGTTTGGGTCAGTCCAAACAAGTCGTTTTCTATCAAGGTAGAGCGAGTCACCATTCTTTACACAATCTAAAGTCTCTTGATCTGAAAAATACATAATGGCATATTGAAGGTTCCTATAGGATGCCTTTGATTTGGGGATAACTCAGGCTATAGCATGAATAGCATGACCAATTTCTTGTAGGTATCGTCCATTAGTATCAATTGGTAAGTTAGTTAATTTGAGGGAAAATTTAGATTTTTGTCGAACTTCATAATTGGATAAAGTGCAGCGGTGAATTCTAACCATATCTTTAAGTATGAAGAAACCATGGTAGGCATCAAATTGTGACATGTCTGTGCCAGTGGTGAATGTAAGAGTGGCTTGTTGCCACAAATTTTTGGTGATCATGGAACATCTGGCAATCTTACCAAAAAAGGCAAATGAAGATCTAATATTTGCTTCCGTAGTGGTGATCAGGATCTCAGTAACCTTGAACAACATTTCAGGGGTAAATTTAACAATGGGAGTAACATCTAATGGAAGAAACGTGATATTATCCATATCGGGTATCGGTAATTTCAAAGCACGTTCAAAATCATCTCGTGTTGTGAAGCTAATTCGGACAATT